GGGGGGGGGGGGGGGGTTGGCAGACAGAGACCCTCTGTGAGCATGGGGTTGAGATCTGCCTGGCCTGCAGGGACCCAGAAGGGGAGAAACGATATTTCCCATCAGCTGCTGCAGCCCAGACCGCCCGCCTGGTTCTTTGGCATAGGAGTGTCAGATGGAGATCCCCCTACGTGTCTCCCATGGGTCTCTAAGCATCATTGCATGGCGACACCTTTCACTGACTACCAATCTGGGCTGATCGTAGAGCCGTCCAGCCCAGCCCAGCCCAGCCTTTCTGCTTCACTCTAGAATAGCCCAAATAGCCCGCCAGCGTCACTAGAGGTTCAAGGAAACTGAAGGATTTATCAGCGCATGCTCAAGCCATACATGCAGTACTTCAAAGACACAAGGTGGCATTGTGGTCACAAGACCGGGTCCAGTCACTGGTTCTCCCTGGGTGACCTTGGGCAAGTCCTTTCATCGCTCTGGGCCTCAGTTTGCCCAGCTGTAAAATGGGGACGTTGTCCATCTTGCCTCTTTAAACTCTAAGGCCTTCAGGGCAGCATGTGTTTGTACAGCCCCTAACGTAATGGGGCCCTGATCTGGGCTGGGATCTCTAGGCGCTAGTGGCATAGAAATAATAATAATAATGCGACTTCATCCACAGACCGCAAAGCGCTATGCCGCCATATGGGTGCACAGCTCCTGAGGCCTGTGCTTTATGGGGGGTCTGGCTAAATACCAGGGTGCCCTCCTTGCCATTGAATCCATGGACTCTGCCCCAGCCTGGAAGCTCATTTCTCCGCCCCTTCTACTGATGCCACCACCCAGTTTGTTTCCTTCTTCCATTCCCAAGCTTGTGCCCCCTTCCATGCCACCCACATGGAGCACCCCCTGCTCCCACTGCACTAGCCTCTTCCCCCCCATTCCACTCCTTCCTCCCTCCCGGCCCACACGCTGGCGTTAGCCCATGGTGCATGCAACGTTCAACACCTAACAACAGAGGTGTGGCCCATCCCTTCCTCTGGGGCGCGCAGTGCATGGGCCCTGATCTGTGTCTGCCATCCAGCCTGCGAACTCCTCGGGGCAAGGGATGGTTTGATCTATGTTTTGGCCCTTACTTAAAAGTACCATGTTGTCCCCGCTTACAGATGGGGACACTGAGGCACAGAGTGGCAAAGCAACACGACCACAGTCCCAGGGTAAGTCAGTGGCAGAGCCCGGACCAGAATCCAAGTCTCTTGACTAGACCCAGAGACTTGGTACTAACTATATTGGCTGTTCACACCTCATCTGGTGTTTGAATGCGAGGTAGCCCAGGTACCTGAAAGAATCTGGGCTTCTCTCCTCATCTATCTTCCCCTCCCCACCCTCCTCTCTCCTTTCCTGGGCCCTTCCTCCTTCTCTCGTTCAGGGCCTACCAAAGGGGGGGTCTCCTCCCAGCAGATGGCTGTCTGGGATCTGACACCTGTGTGAAGCCTGGGAAGTCGTAAAGCAGTTTCCATATCAGAGCAGAAATCTGAGGAATGACAAGAGGCCCTAAAAACAGGGAGGGCCCTGGGGTGGGGGAGTAGAATCCTCTTCTAACAATGCCTGTTTGTTCCTTTCAGATCTTCACAGTGGGGGATCAGGGGTGGGCAAGTCACACTCCCCCCTTTGACAAGTCTCTGCGAATATGCACATACTGATTCATCCACCCACAAACACAGCGGTGGGCTCAGGTTAAACACAAACGCAATATAGCACAAGATGCTCCCATCTCTCTGGTTAATATCATCTTGCCGGAAACAGCAAATGATTCCAGAGTAAAGGGCTGAAAGCCAGGCCAGGAGGCTCATTTAACAAGAGCCGGGGACAAAAGCCTAAGGGGCGAACTTCAAAAGCTTTGGGGAAGCAGCTCTGTGTAGGTTCAGAAAACACAGGTGCGGTGCATAGGAAAATAGGGTAGCGTTCCTTTAAATAGATTGTGAGCACTCCTGGCGCTCATTGTGGTCTATGTTTTAGAAGCTACCACTCAGAGCAGACCAGCTAGGAGAGCTTGGGGAAATTTCTCACACAAAACTATTTCGGGGGCGAAAAATGCAGCTTCAGCTAGGGTGACCAGACGTCCCGATTTTATAGGGACAGTCCCGATTTTGGGGGCTTTTTCTTATATAGGTTCCTATTACCCCCCACCCCCATCCCGATTTTTCACATTTGCTGTCTGGTCACCCTAGCTTCAGTGACACTGAAATGTTTGGCAAATTTGTCTGGTCTTCGACGAATTGTGGTGGTTGAAAGAAAATCTTTAAAAATTCAAACCGTTTCAATTTTTTCCAGTTCAAAATGACTTTTTGTTTCAAAATTTCCTTTATTTACTAAACAGTCAAAAATGTAAAGAGGCTTGAAATGGAAACAAAACATTTCTTTGGACCCAAAACAAAATGTTTTCCCACTTGCCCAGTGTGCTGAAAATTTCCAAAAAATAAAAGGTTTCAGAGTAGCAGCCGTGTTAGTCTGTATCCGCAAAAAGA